AAGATCGACGTTTATCAACAAGAAGTGGAAATATAATGTCTTCTGTGAATTTTTATCTCGTTGAGACTATTTCAAAGGATATCAACGCTATGTCGATAGCACTTTGAATGTTCTCAAAGTTGATAGTGTAGCTGAGACAGTAAACGCAAGATTCACAACTGAAGCATTCAGTGTAGAATAAGAAAGCTCAGTGAGGTCATTCCTACAGGTAAAATATCTTTGTCATTGTTCCATTTGTATCAAAAAACTACTTACTAATCACTCACGATTTATATCTTATTTCAGTCAAAGACAATTCTGAAATCATTATTTGAATGCAAATGTCTCTAGTTCAATAAATTCGAATTTAAATGTCTACATTCCCAAATTACAGATAATAACTTAACCGTCTTTAAACTCTGTCAAAGTTATGCCTTATAAATTATTACAAGATATCAGAATTGGATTTAGTCACTCGATAAAAACACAATGATGTATATTAGTGGGCAATGTTAGTGTAGAGTAAAACAGCGCTGCTTTCATTTCTAGCTTTTAATGGTTATTTAGCTGAAGTTTTCCTATAAAAAAGACTCTTTCTATATAATGCGAACCTGTTTATTCTAAAAATAACACAGAACAATTTGTGATTCATCAAAAAAAATGTTTAATATGACTAAAAATGTAAGCAAGGCTCATAGCTTTTCGACAAACCTCCGTAAAATCAAAACAAAATACACTTACCTTTAACACTGGCAGTTCGAGTACAATTATATAGAACAGCTAATTCGCCTAGTACAGTTGGACGATCTAACACTCGTAATTTTCGACCATCTTTGGAAATTTCCAGTTGTCCCTCTGAGAATTCAAAATAACAAAACAAATAACTGAATAAATTTTGAACTGATAGCTTAATGGAGTCAATTTTCAAGTGATCATGTCTAGTGACCGAAAAATACTTAAGTAATTAATTAATCATTAAATATTATTCATCTCTTCAAATCTCGTCAGCTTTTTTAATTTATTCCCATAGCTATGGGAATAAAAATACGTGCCTCAACATTAAGATTTTGCAAAGCATACTTTTCACCATCAAATGAGTTCAACTGGATAATCATTAGAAAATAAATAGATTTTTTCGAATTATTTTGCAGCTTCTAAGAATAAGGATGTTATTTAGACGAAAAATATCGTTCTTTTCAGACTATAACTTGAATTGCTTGAATTTAAAACTACAGAACGATTTCGACAGTAACTGCGTTATACTATGTTTGACTCAACATATGTGTAGTCACTTCTGTGAGGTTCAGGAGTCGTGGATGCACACTGCCACTGATGAGTCCCATACCAGGACGAAACGGCCGTCTTTCAGTGCTTCCAGGTTTCTACTAATGGTGGTCTAACAATGATTGATTGATGATTTCAAATCTCCAAAGCTCTAACTGACAAATACTAAACTAAGATTTCACCCTTGCTTTCGGATTAGTTCTTTGATGAACGTCAGTCTTTGCTAAGTTTTATTTCCACACTATTATTAACTTACACAACCATCTTACTTTGATCATGAAATAATCAATATTAGATCACCATCAGACACTTTCAAGCTTTGGACGGATTTTTCGTCTTAGTATGAGACACAACAACAGCACGCATCCATGAATTTGTAAGCGGAAATCGTACATATCGCCTCATGACCACTGAGATCAGCATCCAACGATATTGATTGATGTGTAACTTAAATCACTGTACGATACTGCGCAAAATAGCCGTTCAATACGTTCAGGTTTCGAAATAGTGGTCTAGCATTTATCCATTCAGGATTTCAATCAAACTCAACAATCTTCACAACCCTATACTGAATAATTTATCACACATTTCTGTGCTTACAGCAGTCAACTTTTTTTCTCCAAGTAAAAAAACTTACTTTCATAAAGTTTATGTTTTTTATTGAATACAAATGTTGGAAAAAAATTCCTAGTGTTATCAATAACTGTTTAAAAATTCTGTAATACGATTTTTTGTCAAAATAAGATGCGCCACATAATTTGACATCCCTGATTGAGGTAAAATAAATTAGGCTTGATGCCTTGATGGGTATTAATTAATCAATAAAATGTTGGAACCAATATCGATAAAACATTTTTGATGGTTACTATAGAGAAATTATTCAAAAAAGATTACTAAAACTAAAGCAGTATGAAAAGACGTGACGACCAATGAAACCTTTTCCTATTCATTATATCACCAAAGTGAAATATGAAAATGAATGTAGAATTGTACGAATTCAGTGATTTATATTTCCAATCTAGCTCATGTTGAACTACAGATCTGATAATCGCCATAAATTTATATGACAGTTTAGTTCTTAATGATAACTGACTATATGATTTATCCCTTATGTTCAGACTAGATCAGATATCATTTCAAGTTTATATAAACGAGCCTAATTCGAAGGACATAAGTGATATCAAACACTTATTGTTAGGTTCGTCACTAGGTACCCTGTAAACTATTACAGGTTCACCTTAGTCGATAAACGCAAACGAGACAATGAACCAGCGTCCAGGTAGGCTAACTTGATCTGAAACGGCTAAAAAGAAGTCTTGATAAGCGTGGAAAGAATATTCTACCAACACCCAGCAAGCACAACACAATCAAGCACACAACTCCTGTTTATTTATCCATCATAGAAATGTCCTTGGGACAGTCACAAAAATAGCACACTAAAATACACAGCAGCCAATCAGAGCCAAGGATTTTCCTAGTGGTAAATGAAATCTCAAGGTCAACAGATCAGCCCATGCTCGCAAACGTGGAATCCAAAATAAGGCATTGATCAAGTGAGTTCTGTAGGTCTAACATCCCCAACACTTATGCATGTACTTTCCGGAAATACTTTACTGATGCATCCCCATTTTGCTCTGTATTCGAGTTCATTCTAATGTGGATTATCAACAGAACGTTGACAAATGAGATACTTCCGATTAATAATCATATTTCATTGACAATTGATCAAACAGAAGCAGTATTCAACAGTTAAAACTTAATCTAGTTTATTACATATTTAAAAAACTCTATCAACTTTCCCGAAATAAAACTAGTTTTTGAAATGACTTTTTAAATTTCCAATTTTCTTTCCAAACTATAATTAACTTCCATGCCATGAAAACTGTACTTTTAATGCCAAACAAGATATTTGTTAAAATGTTATTTTATTCAATTAATATTGGTAACCTTTAAAATTTTCATTTAGTGTTTTTTTCACTGATTATTCTTAAGTGTAAATCATTATTATGCACTGTACAAATAGCCATGTATATGTTTCACAGTGTAGAGAAACCACTAGACTATAAGTGTAATAATAAAATTTCTTCAGGTCATGAGATTAAAGAAAAATTATGGAAAATTTATGGAATACTTTAGTCAATTAAAACAAAATCCTACTGATTAATTTATTTATATTAATACTATTTTGGTACATACATGTAATTATCTTTCAATGTTATAAAATCAATTGAAGAACGAACGAAGATATACTCGTAACTTGTAAGCTGTAGATTACAGCCATCTAACGAAATGAAGATTGACCTAAGTTAGACATTGACACCGCTAGATGCTAGATCAGTGGTGGTGATTAAGATCGAAGGTCCTGGGTTCCGTTCCAGTGAGCATTGGTCCTGAACCTACACTGCTGAGGAGATATTCTGTGTTATGCTCGTCACTTGAGATTCTTCAGCATCATGTGGTCGTGTTACCAGGTGGCATATGGTATTTAATGGGACATCAGCCAAATTTAGCTGGTCGGACCAACCTAAACCAAGTAAATTTAGATCATCTGGCGTTATATAACATACCCCAGTAAATGACGAGTCTCAGAAGGCAACTTTACATTCCATTTGTCATAACAGACGAAGGTAATAACCACATACTAAGCGAGTAATCTAATGACGCAGTTTTCAACCATTTCCCAACCTGGATTAGGTCGATGTACTGCCATGAAAGTGACACTTCGATTGAAACCTGTGGCTAAGCCTGTTTTCCGTCCAAAAAGACTCCTTGGACCTCATTGCATGTTAGGCGAGTTCTGGGGATCTAACGTCCCCAACATTCTATTGCTTGAAAAATAATGTGGTTTACTAGTGTCCAAAACTTTATTGTCTTCGGGTTCCAAAATCAGTAAAATTATAAGGGTTATACAAGTGTTTTAATTTGCATGGTAAATTGACTTTTACCAAAACTTACTACATATTTGTGAATTTAATTACAATTATAAATGGTTCCTGGTATTTAGTACTGATACTATAGTGATTTTAACTGGAGATTTATTTTTGTCAATTTATTTATTCAAAAACATTAACATTTTTTCAAAGAGGTATCGATTAATATGTGCACTGACCCATGGAAATGCAACTGTGAGTTTAATAAACGAATGATTTGAAATGAATAAAAATTAGTGTATGAGATTGGAGAAAATGATCAGAAAAGCAGTTCGGTTAAGAAAAATACCTTCAGAAGGGATTCTGTCAGTTAAAGAAGCACTCCTCACTTGTATGAAGGAAACAAAAGAACATTATAACCGGATCATCACTAACTTCAATCCTGAGACATGGTTGATAATGCCTAAAGCCACTGTGTTGTATTGTATGTAGGAGTCCAACAGGTTAGTCGTGAAGAAAATAACAGGTTAACTTCCTATATAGTTTTGTTTCATACCTCAAAATCTTGTAATACAAAGATTATCTCTTTGTGTATCGCCAATCACTCCCAGCATTGGTGAATGAAACATGGTGTGGAGTTTTACTAGAACAGAATTCGTAATCTATCCTCAAGCCATCAAAGGAAGTGTTTTAAGATAGTGTCACTAAATGAATTTTTGACACTGTGTCCGAACGCACGTTGGCGAGCCTCTGAGTTACTAGCCATTCATGGTCAGTAGTTCAAATGGAGGGTTGCTTAACATTCTCAACTCTGAGAGGGAAGGTTAAAAAAAAACATAGAGCAGAACTGTTCTCACCGACGCACTGTAAACCCAAAATTATACAGTCACATAAACATCAGGATAGCCCTAAAAAGGGAACAGATATCACAAACCAGACAGACTATCCTCCTGTGCAAAGTGATCTCATCACCCATCCTACAACCTGCACTCACACAGCGACGCAGATACATACAAGTTTCACTTAATTCTGATGGCTCACCACTATGAATAAGTGTTAACTCAAGGATCTGCTGATCTTCTAGAAGTACTTTGCATATGAAATACGTAAAGTACCGTCCACATCTACGGACACTCAACAGTAAATGATTCAGTGTGAATTATATGATTTAAGTATTATCTCAAAGTAAGGTGAAATCATCATTTTATTTTACGCTCTCAGTTATACATTCGTTTCATTCCCTACAGTGTTGTTATATTCAATCTTCATTTTTTTTGGTGTATTTTATTAAATGATCTATAGTCGTGGTTAAAACTTTTGACATTAATTTCTCTTGTGTCTAAAAATCTATACATACTATACATTTAAAAAAATTTTTTCTTGTTTTGTAACGCGTCAAACTTAATTGTCTTAAGAATTAATCAAGATTAGGCAAATATTTTCAATAATCACCTAAACTTTTGAATTGTTAAATCTAGTTTTTTTCTATGAATATAAACTGGTATTTTCAAATTGAATAAAAAAAAACGAACACAGGATTCGACTAAAACTTTCCTCATGGTTTATGCCAATTTATAAGATGAATAAATTTCATTAAGCATACGTTAAATTCAACAATCTTCACAAATAATCTGTTTTTTTAACAAAACAGGGATTACACATTTTTTGAAACCATGAATCGACCAATGTTAGACCACCATTAGAAACCTGGAAGCACTAGACGGACGTTTCGTCCTAGTATGGGACTCCTCAGCAGTGCGCATCCACGACTCCTGCACCTCGCAGGATTCGAACCCGCGACCTTCGGTATTGTGCGCGAACGCCCCAACCGTCAGATAACTGGGCCGGTATCTAACGGAGTTAATGTCTAACTTGATCAAATTCACGGAGTTGCGCAACCTCATACACAGTGTTCGGTAGACACTGCCGAGACTCGAAACAAGTTGAACTTCACTGGTCACGTCCTTCCCATTAGAACTCGGAGAAGATTCCTCACGAAGCTAATCACTAGTGAGCACAGGTAATTTGTATTACGGGGTTGTGAAGATTGTTAAGTTACACATTTTTGAAACCATGAATCGATCAATCTTAGACCACCATTAGAAACCTGGAAGCACTGGACGACCGTTTCATCCTGGTATGGGACTCATCAGTGGCAGTGCGCATCCACGAATCCTGTACCTCGCCTGGATTATCAGTGTTGTATGTACATTATAAGGAGAAATCAAGTGAACAATTTTAGTACTAGTCGTTTTGTCCTGTAATGGGACTCATCAGTGATGTGCATTTACAACTCCTGCCACTCACAGGATTCGAACTTAAGGCCATCGGTCTTGCGCGCAAACGCCTAACCTCTGGACCATTGAGCGGGCATTTAACGGTGTTAATATCTAACGTTGATCAATCTGTCGGGTGTAGGCAGTAACTGCCGAAGACAAATATTTGGGGTGGCGCAAAATCCCTAGATTGATCAGAGTTAGACATTAACACCATTAGATGCCCGCTCAATGGTCCAGAGGTTAGGTTTTTGCGCGCAAGGCCGATGGTCTTAGATTCGAATCATGCAAGAGTCGTCGATGCGCGCTGCTGACGAGACTCATACCTGGACGAAACGGCCGCCCAACAACGATTCATTCATTCATGATTTCAATGTGTAAAACTTCTAACAGTTTGAAAGTTTGCGTATTTAATTTATTTAAAAATAGGAATAAGTTTTCATAATTTGATTATTTTTCTACGAATCTATTTTCATTCTTCTTGAATTCATTTACACACCTGATATTCTATGTGTATCTATATATATATTGATGAGAGTTTTCTTTTCTCTTGAAATTAACAGTGAAAGAACACAAACCATTACTTTCGCAATTAATTAATAATTTTTTTCTATGATTTATAATTTTCATTTCTCTATTCAGTGTTTCTCTTTAATTTCTTTATTTCTCTTCATGCGAATGAACTTTAAATACTGTTTTCTCTCTCTCTCTCTATTCAAATGTGTGTAATTTATTAACTGTTCATACGGTGTACATGCATTTATTTTTTTTATATTTAAGATTATAGAAAAGCAGAATAAAATTAAAATCTAACAAGATTAATATGAAATAAAATTTTTTTTCATGATATTTTGTGTGTGTTCACTTAGTGAGTGATTAGTATTGAAACAGATTTGTGTAATGCCTAACAGAAGGTTAGGATTGTGACCGATGAGGTTGCAATTCGCTTCAACTTATGGTCATTAGTGGTAGAGGTAGTATTGGTAGTAGTATTAGTACTAGTATTAGTACTAGTATTAGTAGTACTGGTCGTAGTAGTGTGATTAGTAGTAGTAGTAGTGTGAGTAGTAAGTAGTAGCAGTGAAATCAAGATGTATTAGGGACATATGAGGCTTAACGGTTGCTTGTTAGTGAGCGAGAACACAGGTGGGGCAACCGGATTACCACTTCGGTCATTGTTCTTGCCCGCTGGTCTGGAATGAGTACGGCATCTATCCAACGTGTAGCGTTTACTAGTTCCCGCTGCTGCGACACGGCGGCAGGCACACACTCCATGAATTGCGACGCCAACAACTGTGCCCGCGACTCCCCATCCATACTCGGCAGCGTACGGCGCAGCAACGTCGTGAGCTCCACAGCCAGCACCAACGGGTCACCATCAGCCGACAGCCTCGCCAACCGGAACCTTTGCGTCGCCTGCTCCCTGTCCACCGGGCTGTCGAACTCCGCCATCAGCCACCCGGTGACCGTCTCCCATGCCGTCTTCCCGGCGCACCGTCCAGGCTGTTGTATACCGCCTTCGCCTCACCTACCCGCAGCGTCCCCAGCACCCCCCCAACTCCGCCCCGGGCCCCTTCACACCCACCAGCTCCACCACGTAGTAGTCCTATTAGTAGTGTGAGTAGTAGTAGTAGTAGTAGTAGTAGTAGTAGTAGTAGCAGTGAAATCAAAATGTATTAGGGATATATGAGGCTTAACAGTCGCTTGTTGTTCGCTTTGTATGAAGTGTTTAATTTCGAAAAGAATGATTCTTTTGAAATTTCTAATCTGTGTGGACAGTCTACATCAAAATAAGTAAACTTTCTCGAAGTTATTTACATATCTGATGAATATGATAATGTTTTATCCTTCCTTACTTGGCACTATTCTCGAAACAACCAACCAAACAATAAGTTTCCATTAATTATGTGCGTTGTAATAAATGGGTTAAATTGTTTATTCGAATATAAATCATCCAATAATGATTGACATATGAAAACTATGTATTTCTTAGTTATTGATTTTCACAAAAATTTAATTTGCGTCAAACATAGGTACGCAAAAATGTTTGATTTTTGCTGTAGACTAAAGTTTATATGCCTGTCGTTCGTTCATGTTGTTACCGATAAATAATATTCTCCAAATATGCGCGTTTCTTCCTCTAATTTTTGATTGCTGTTTTAGATTTAATCATTTAGAAGAAATAAACAATTATTTAAACAGTTAGTTACATCAGCCGGGGTACTGACATGCTTGAAACTATTAAGAGTTCACCTTACTCGTTAAATAGGGCGCAGATAAATCCGTTTGTCCCAGGTCCCGCTAACAAAAGCAAGAAGTCTTGATAAGGCGTAGAGAATGTATTCTACAGGCATCCGGAAAGATTGGGGTTGCTAAGCACACAAATCAAGTTTATTTATACAATGATAGATACGCCCATGGGAGAGCCACAAAATAACGCACTAGAATTATCCGTCAACCAATGACGGGCGAGGATTTTCCGAGTGGGAAATGTAAGCTATAGGTCAACTAAGCGTCTCTTGGCGCTAAACCATAGAAATTCAAACTTTCAGAAATAAATTAAAAAATTAGGACCTTTTTGCGAGTGAGTTCTAGGGATCTGACGTCTCCAACAGTGACTTACTCGACACCTCACTTTCCATTTTCTGTCATGTAAGAATATATGATGTCAGATTGTGAAGATTTCTAGTGCTCTTTGATTTACAATGACTAACTGTTTATGTCAACTCATGATTAAATCTATCCTGAGAGATTGTAACATAGAACAACTATTGCTTCGTTAACTAATGACAATGAAAACATTTAGTAACAGCATTTAGGAAGAGGAAAGAATGTTATTTACTTCATGAGTACACTAAATTCTAAGTAATGTATTCACTTAATCCTTGTTGAAATAAAAGTCAATGAAATACAAATCCGCATTACGGGGTTGTGAAGATTGTTAAGTTACACATTTTTTGAAACCATGAACCGATCAATGTTAGACCACCATTAGAAACCTGGAAGCACTGGACCGCCGTTTCGTCCTGGTATGGGACCCATCAGCAGTGCACATCCATGACTCCTTCACCCCGCAGGATTCGAACCCAGGACCTTCGGTATTATGTGCGAACGCCTAACCTCTGGACCACTGAGCCGGTATCTGACGGTGTTAATGTCTAACTTGATCAAATTCAGTGGTCTGTCGCTTAGGGCGTTCGCGCACAATACCGTAGGTCCTGGGTTCGAATCCTGCGGGGTGCAGGAGTCGTGGATGCGCACTGCTGAGGAGTCCCATACCAGGACGAAACGGCCGTCTTTCAGTGCTTCCAGGTTTCTAATGATGGTCTAACACTGACCGGTTCATGGTTTCAAAAATACAAATCTGCCAATATGACAGTAGTTTGTAATATTTCCTTAAATTACCCTACAACATATATGAACGTTCATTCTTATTGATCGGTAGAACAATTTACTGCTTGACCCGTAAAGATATATAAATATATATGTATGATTATGTAATCTATTTGATACAGCTTTTAAATTATTAGTATACTACACACAACATAAATACAAAACAAAAACAGATTTAACCTACCGCCTAAAACATACACCAATGAACCATAATCGCCTTCAGTGATAATCATTTCACCCTCGGTAAACTCGATACTGTACATACAATTGATTAATTGATTCAATTGACTTGATGCAATATGATTCATGAAATCATTTTCCAGAATAGCAGTTTTTATTAATTTAGAAACACTGTAGAGAGAAAAACAATGTAACGGTTATAATAAGTTTAATCGTTAAGAATACAGCAAATATATAAATGACGTATTTGTATTAGGTTGATTATGGAGATTTATTTATTGTAAAGACAGTTTTCACTCAGAATTGTGGTGGTGTTTCGTTCTCTGAAGTTTGTGCTGATGATGTTGTTGTTCAGAAGAAGAACAATGAAAGCTCCACAACCAAAACACATCACATCCAGCTCAGAGAACGAAACAACACCAAAATCAACCACCTGAGCTACAAATTCTCTCCACTATTTCACTCAGAATCAATATAAGTTTTAACATCACTAAAAACTACAAAACAGAGAGTAGCTGTTTTGCATCACAATGATTGATTAACAAACTAATTTATTCAAAGCAATAAATTGTTTCTTTAATGAGTGTTGGAATTTGTGATATTGACAAAAATCAATCGCTGTTTTCAGTGTCCAAGTGGCTGAACCCCAGGACTTGCCTTGTAGTAACACAGCTTGTAGTTTCGGGTAATAGTGTGTGAACTAGTCGATGAGGTTATGGGCAGTCTACGCTAAATGTGATTGAATAGTGTGCAAACTGTAACTTGTGTTTAGTCTAACCGACAGTAAGTATTCAATGAATCTGATGTGAATCCACTAAGTGTGAAACGTACTCTGAATAAAACATGATTTTAGATTATAACTTCACAAATAGTTCGGTTAAGTTATATATGGGGATGTACAGGTCTTGGTTATGATCGGTGATGAGATGCACATCATAAATAATAGCTCAGAATCTATCACGACGGGTGTCAGTCTTCAATGTTAGTATTCATCAAAACAAACACCGACCTAACAAGTTTGAGGTTGCCGTTGGGTGTATTGATTACCAAATAATTCAAAATTACTCATTTTCATAGTAAATTTCACGCACTTTACAAAATTTGAACTAAATCACATCATATTACACAGTTAGAAAATCGTCCAACCATAGTACTACTACAAAGATGATTCACAATAATTCAAATTAAGAAACAGATGATTTTGCAACTACAAATCAATGAATGATAACACCCACTGAGAAATTAGTACAAATCAAAAATAAAAAAAGTATCCAACCGTTCAACTCATCGTTCAATGGTTAACTGATTAAAAATAAAAAGATTCTTAAAAGAGAATAAGCTTTCTGGGTGATTTTTATTTATTCATTAAATAATAAGTTCAGACGTTAGTTTACTTCTTTTTTTCCAGTAATAAAATTAAAATAACCGCATGAAACTAATAAACTAGTAGTTGATTGAGAACCGATTAAGAAGAAGAATATGAACTATCTAGGTCAATGTTGTGGGATATTATTCGAAAGTATGATATATTAGTCTATTGTTTGACCAGTCACAGCTACATCCATTCTCTCTGATAGAAATAATAAACTGATTAAATGTTATGAAAGTCAAGATTAAGAAACACAAGATAACTGATTCGAAATAATTTTGAGACTTTCCAATTATATACGATCACAATTCTACTAAGGTATCATGATTGTTCGGAAATCAGACATTTCTAAGTTTTATCTCGAGAGTTGTGGATAGCATGTAAAATTGTGGAGACATTAAATGCCAACTAATCCTCAACATCTGCAATTTCTACCAGCATATCGAAATTACTAAAATTTTATTTGTGTAAAATGATTTACAGCCTACTATAAATTCTGAATTATGTAGGTTTAAACTTAATCATTACTAAAGTGGATTTTCTTCACTTACGAATGATAACATCTAGAATTTTTATTCACTCTGAACTATTTCAGTAGTTTCATATTGCTTATATGAAGGAATAACATCAGATATATACATATTTACCAAGATTTAATCGATTAGTTAAAACTGATAACTGAAAATCTGAATTCAATTGATGAAGTGTTATTATCAAAGAAGTGAGAGTTCAAATATGCTAGAAGAGGGATAGTTGTCACTGAAGGCATATGATACTCATAGTAGCAAGTAGCATGAATAACTAAGTTCTTATTCATAAATTTTTAAAAGTACTATGTATGCCATAAGTTCTGAGGATCTAGAGTCTTCTCTCGAATAGACCATAATGAGAAGTTACAATATAGGAAAAATTAACTGCTCATACCTTGTTCCATTTAAGGCTTTTCAAGTTTTTTGCAGCTTTTGAGGAAAATTATATTCAAATGCCATAAGTTGTGAAAGTACGTTTAAGAGAAGAAACTCTGATAAAAGTGTATGTATTGTATTTATTCACCACATATTCTAATCGATTAGGCGAAGAGTAATTCTTTAGTTAATAATAAAAGTTCTAACCTTATGTTTTATATTCATTCTGTTATAATTTCTCAACAGTCAACAGAGTAACTATGAAGAACATAGAAGTGACTGGAAACATCTCTTATCATAAGGATAATTCACAATGATTCCAATTTACAAGGAAGTATTCGCTTTCTGATGAATGTCAATTATTTAAGAACCTAATAGATTCTTCAGGATTGTTTTCGACCACGTATAATTTAAACAAAGATTATTTGTCCTTAACTGAAACAAAATTATCAGCAGAAGCGGATAATGGACAGCAGTGGGATCCGGGATGCGCGTTTCACCCTTACTTAGGACTCATCAGCTGGATGTACCTTCATCTCAGAGTAGATGTTCACCCTAGGACTGGAACCCTATACTTTGAGCATCAAACACCATTGATTTTAGATCAAAGATTCAAGTTCTTACAACAACTTTATGACTGCGTGATTATAATCGTGCAACATAGTTTGCTGTTAGTAATGTACATCGTAATGTTTTATTCATCATCGCACTTACAAGTTGAATACATCTCAATACTCATAAATTTTCTAAAATCATAGTGTTTGAGTTTATCGTTTAATGTCATCCAAAGACCACTTTTGTGTGATTCGATCAATAAATACGTTGAATCAATGTCAACTGCATAAGACGTTTCAGTGACTTACCAACCAGTCTATCATTCGATAGAAGATATAAACGACCGCTTATTAACAGAAAAAGTTATTCATATTGTTTCTCCAAATCTAAGAGAACGTTTATCCATGCTCTTTCCTCTTTTTGTCAACCTCAACAAAAATTAACTCTATTATTTGGATAACCAAAAACAACCTATTTGCTCTGCTTTATATATGTCTTCTAACTAACATAATGTGTTTCTGATTTATCACAGTGTTAGGTGCAGTTCCAAATTAATTTATCTGCATTGGGTCCTACACATGTATTGAATTAAGGTATAAACGTTAAACGCCATATCTCGTGAAAACTTTGTTTCTTACTGTCAAGCTACTAATATGAAGTTACAGATAGTGTAATCTCCAAAAATATGTATGCCACATGTACTAAGCATAAAATAGACTGACTAAGAATGAGGATTAGTGACTAAAGTAGCAAATCGTTCAGATACATTCATAAATAACTTGAATTCGACTGTGCTACAGTTCATAAACGAAACTATGAAAACAAACTTTTAGTTTCGAAAACAAAGATGTTTTATTACAGCTTGTATAATTTCCATTGCTAAGTGATATCAGATAGAGAATCTCAGTAATTCCGCATGTACAATCCCACAATGCAGTACGCACTGACTGATTATTATGAGTTTTCTGTCAGATATTAATTTGTAATAAAAACTGTTATGATCGTCACTAGGTATGCTTGAAACTATTAAGGGTTCACCTTGGTCGAACTAGACAAAGAACCAGCTTCCAGGTAGGCCACCTGGAAAGTCTTGATATAGCGTAGAAAGTAGATTCTACAAACAGCCAGCTAGCACACAATGAATTCAAGCACTAAAATCACGTTTATTCATACATCATAGAGGCGTCCATGGGAAAGTCATAAAAATAGCACACTAAAATAACACAGTAGCCAATCACAACCAAGGAGTTTCCTGGTGGGAAATGTGATCTCAGGGCCAACTGATCAGCTCATGCTCGCAAACATAAAATCCAAAATTAAGACATTAATCAAGCGAGTTTTGAGGATCTAACATCCCCAACAAAAACCAAGAACAATCCATCCAAAGTGAATATGTCTACATCATTTGTTTGTAACCATGAATCGATCAATGTTAGACCACCATTAGAAACCTGGAAGCACTGGACGGCCATTTCGTCCTGGTATGGGACTCATCATTGATCGATTCATGGTTACAAAAAAAAAATTAACAATCTTCACAACAACCCCGCAGTCCAATTACATGTGTCCACTGGTGACTAGCTTGGTGAGAAATCTTCTCCGAGTTCTAGTGGGAAGTCGTGACCAGTGAAGTTCAAACCTGTTCGGATGTATACAGGGTATGAGGTTGCGCAACTCCGTGAATTTGATCAAGTTAGACATTAACACCGTTAGATACCGGCTCAGCTAGGGCGTTCGCGCACAACACCGAAGGTTCTGGGTTCGAGTCCCGCGGGGTGCAGGAGTCGTGGATGCGCACTGCTGATGAGTCCCGTACCAGGACGAAACGGCCGTCTAGTGCTTCCAGGTCTCTAATGGTGATCTGACATTGATCGATTTATGGTCACAAATAAAACTTAACAATCTTCACAACAACCTCGCAATACATCATTTATTATTCAATTCGGTACAAGTTTATTTTTAATGACTGAAAATTTCTGATCAGTCGATTTGATAAGGCTTGAATTGAATAATCACTGATATTGTTGGTGTAAACATTATGCTAAACTACTTTGAAATATATGAGAAATGACATGTAAAGTATATATATATATATATCTGTAGCATTTTATACTTCTCTCATTGAAACTTTTATATTATCATGATGAAATATAATTCTGATATAATACGAGTAATGATAACATGATGAGATAATTCAGTTGTTTCATTTTTTTCCCACGAGACAATAAACATATGATAATGTAACAAGTTTTCATCTACATACATATATATGTATATATATTCACGTTTTTTCATACTCTCTCTTTTCATTCAATGTGACATCTTTTGTTCAATGTTCATAA